TGCATTGTTGCATTGTGACAATTCCAAAAGAAAGGAACCTACCTTTTTCTGTGCAACCTTGGCAGCCTCACGGGCAGCTTTAACCTTCTCAAGACTTTTCCTTTTCTTGAGTAAAGTTTCTGGGACTCGTGGAACCTTCTCCCTGCAGTACAATAATAACAGTATTAGGAATTACTAATCAAGAAATGATAAAATGTTATATCAACTGATAAATATTAATACATAAATAATAACTTAAGATGAGAAAATATATTGAACAGATCTACTCTTGGGCTGGAGTTTTCAGTTCAGAATTCGAAAATCAAGAATTTGCAGCTCTGTTCACATTGCTATGATTTTGAATAATCAGCGTGCCATTTAGAATGTTCACTGGACATAAARTAGCTACTGTCAGTTACTATAAATTCTACTTCTAATCAAGACATTATTTATAGAAATCAGAGACGTCTTCCTCACATGTACCGAAACAGTGCTTGGATCAATTCGAACTTATCATTTTATTTAAATACAAAGCTACCATACAATACTGATGARAAATAATGGCGTCAACACAYACTACAGAATTGCATTGGTCTTCGTCGATCACGAAAATTGAGTCTAYAGACTAGTACATGTCTTACTTCCCCATGTTATTCGACAGTGACATCAAACAAGAAGTTTGCAGCCAAAAGACGGTATGAATCAGAAAATAAAACGACCATCAAATAAAATGAAGTTTATATCTTAGTTTGGATGACAAGATTGCTGGAAACAAGGGTGTTTTAGCACCGGATTCATTGGATTTAAAATCTGTTTATTTCTTCACAAACCTTTCGAGAGCCATTTTCCCAAGCTAAAAGAGGTAGAGCATCATGGGAGCTGGGGCTAAGTAACCGCGCAAATGGATAAAAAACTGGGTAGAATAAAAAAATATATAAAAAAATAAATAAAATCAATAAATCAATAAATAAAAACCAAAGAAATAAACTGTAAAATTCTTTTTTAAAATCGTCATATTATCAAAAATATACTAACATTTTTTTTTTGTTCAAGAATTGATATTTATATAAAACCTGGAAAAMTATTTGCGTTATTTCGAATATTTCTCCTAAAATAATATAATTACATGATTTAACAGCTAAAGATCGAACTGAAAGTAGTATGTCT